TGTAACATTATAAATGTCTTTACTGTCACTTTTGATCAATTTAATGCAGCCTTGATCAATAAAAGTATTAATTTCTTTAAAAAAAATGACTGAACCCAAACTTTTAAACGGTGCTATGAGCTTTTCTGCATCAGCTTGTTTAGAAAGCTTCCCATTTCAAACAGTAAACTCTTTTTCTATATCTTTGTGTGTGTGTGTGTGTTTCTTCTGTTTCACATCTTTAAACTCTAAAATTTAAGGGGGGAAAAAATCTAAAACAAAACACAATAGAATCAGTATTTCATAAGTGCATAAATAAACAATAATCATCTAGCTGTATCTACCAAAATAAATTAAATCTATCTAATATGCGATCTGGTTTGTAAGGCATTACAAATAAACAGAGGCGGACAGTAGTGAAGTATTTTTACTTTGCTGTAAAAGTACTTTTTAAGTGTCTGTACTTTATCAGAGTGTTTTTCTTTAAAAAAAAATTTACTTCACAATATTCCAAAGCATAATATTGTACTTTTTACTGCACTTTATGTTTCATATTAAATATCATTTTATACTTAATTACATTAGAAATCTATTACTTTCTTATGTTTACTCTAGTAAACGTAATTCAAAGATTTACTTGAGTACAAGAAAGTACTAAATTTTTAATATTCTTAAGTATTAAAGGTAAAACAAACAACAACTTTTATGAAATGTAGTGAAGTAAAAAGTATGATATTATGCTTTGGAATGTAGTGAAGTAAAAGTTTTCCAAAGAAAACACATACACACACACACACTCACTAAGCTAAATCTAAATAGGGTCACAAATTTGTCTCCAAAATACATTTAAATAGGAATACACACATCCATTCTGTGAGATGTTAGTTTCTAATAACTTGAAAACATAATTTCCCCACTTTTTTTGTTACAATGATTTTGTTACTTGTCTTGTTTTCCAGCACAAATATCTAAACATTCTTAAATCAAGATACATTTATTTGAGAAGCAAAATGACTTAAGATGTAAGATGTCTTGTTTTCTGAACAATTGATCTTGAAATGAGAAAAATAAACTGAATTCAAAGGGAAATAATAAAGAATTTTTTTCTGACCCCACTAATAAAGTTTGCCTTGTTTTAAGCATAAACTTATTTTTGATAATTTTTTTTCAGAAAACAGGAATTAATGTCTTAAGGCATTTTGTTGACATTAGAGTTAAAAGTTTCTACAGAGGGGATTTTGGATATCTCTTTTTATCACTCTGTAAATAAGAGAAATACTGTCAACAGACAGAAAAAAAACACATTTTCGCCATGTTTTTAGGAATAAAATGTTATAAAAATCAGCCTGATTGAAATATGAACAAACCCCTCTATAAAAACCTTCAGAATATAGATAGAAATAAAACTCTTAAGTTTGGTGTATGTAAGTGCTGCTAAAGTGGAGAAAAAAACTTTTAAAGATATGGATTGTAATTGAAATTTACAGATGCAAATAGATAAAGTGCAATAATAAACTCAGGTGAATGACATATGAACAAACCCTTCAGAAAAAACCTTCAGAATATAGAGAGGAATAAAACTGTAAGTTTTGGTGTATGTAAGTGCTGCTGAAGTGGAGAAAAAACTCATGGTCCCTTTAAAGATATGGATTTTCACAATGTTTTTAGGAATAAAATGTTGTATAAATCAATGTGAATGATATATGAACATACCCTTCAGTAAAAACCTTCAGAATATAGAGAGGAATAAAACTCTTAAGTCTGGTGTGTGTAAGTGCTGCTGAAGTGGAGAAAAAACTTTTAAAGATATGGGTTGTAATTGAAATCTAAAGACAAACTTAATTTTTTGCATTGTTGAAGTCTCTAAAAGTCTGTTCACGGCAAGAATGTCACAACAAAAGTGATGCAAATTAACACCAAAAAATCATCAACATGTTTTTGCACAAACTGTTACCCATCAAGCACATCACAAATTTTCACCCTTCTATGATTTTGAGAAATCTTTATCTACCTGAACACACTCTGGCTATATGAGTTAAATCATATAAAATATTTAAAAAACATCTTATAATGCAAAAGTCACTCACCTTAATGCAAAATATGATGCATTTCTGGACACATGAAGCATACTGTACATTGTATTAGTCATTTTAATTTTAGTTTAAAACTTATGTATCAAAACAATGTAATTAATTGAAATAAAATATAAATATTTGATTAAACGTAATTTAAAAAATGAATGGAAATTTACAATTTTGTAATGGCAACTAACTTAATTTTAGTACTTAAACCTACTAAAACTGAAATAAAAATATAACTACAAAAATTTTAACTACATATTTCAACAAAAACGAATAAAAATTACAAAAGTATAATTTAAACTAAAATTAAAATGAATACTGAAAATTGCAAAACAATTCAAATTGTTTTTGTTCGTTGAAATAAAGCTGAAATAAAATAAAATATAAATATTTGATGAAACTTAAAATAAAAATAAAAAAAACGTTTACATTTTGCCTTGGCAACTAACCTAAGTTTAATAGGTTTAATAAGTTGAAGTAGTAAAATTACTAAAACTAAAACTGTAATAAAAAAAAAGAAACTAAATAAAAAAAGAAAACAAAAAACTAATAAAAATTACGAAAGTATACTAAAAGTTAAACTAAAATTAAAATGAAGACATCAAAATAAAAGCTAATTCTAAATATTAATAAATACTATAATGGTATTGTAAAATAAGGATCTAATGAGGCAAGAAACATCTTGTCACAGCTAAAATCTTGTGGCATACACTACCGCTCAAAAGTTTGGGGTCAGTAAGACTTGTAATGTTTTTTAAAGAAGTCTGTTCTGCTCATCAAGGCTGCATTTATTTAATCAGAAATGCAGAAAAAAAACAGTAATCTTGCAAAATGTTATTACAATATAAAATAATTAAAAATCGTTCTGATCCTAAACTTTTGACCGGTAGTGTATGTGTGTGGTATGTAACGTAACGTCTCGCTCTGTCTCTCCGGTGTCTCTGTAGAGTCTGTGGACACTAAGCTGAACTTCAGTAATCTGCTGATGATGTATCAGGACAGCGGCGGCTGTCCAGACTCCAGCGAGGAGGACAACTCACGCATGTCCATGTTACCGCACCTCGCCGACCTCGTCAGCTACAGCATCCAGAAAGTCATCGGATTCGCCAAGATGATCCCTGGATTCAGGTGAGACTCTGTTCTCTTCTCTTTTGACCTGGTGTGAAGTGTTGACCTCCCATTAGCCAGGAATTGAGCATTTGTTTTTCTCCCTCACAATTCAGTTTAAACTATGCATGTTGCACTTCAAAGTGAAAATCATTCTAATATGCTGATTTATTATTAGAATTATCAATGTTGTGCTGCCAAATATTTTTTTTTGGAAACTGCGATACTTTTTTCAGGATTCTTTGATGAATAAAAAGTTAAAAAGAACAGCATTTATTCAAAATATAAATCTTTTCTAACAAAATAAATCTTTGCTATCACTTCTTAAAAATTTAACACATCCTTGCCGAATGAAAGTTTTAATTTCTTTCAAAAAAAAGAATGAAAATGTACTGACCCCAAACTTTTGAACGGTAGTGTATATTGTTAGAAAAGATTTCTATTTTAAATAAATGCTCTTCTTTTTAACTTTTTATTCATTAAAGAATCCTGAAAAAAGTATCACAGGTTCCAAAAACAAATATTAAGCAGCACAACAGTTTCCAGCACTGATAATAAATCAGCATATTAGAATGATTTCTGAAGATCATGTGACACTGAAGACTGCAGTAATGATGCTGAAAATACAGCTTTGATCACAGAAATAAATTACATTTTAACTCGCCGACCTCGTCAGCTACAGCATCCAGAAAGTCATCGGATTCGCCAAGATGATCCCTGGATTCAGGTGAGACTCCGTTCTCCTCTCTTCTGACCTGCTATGAAGGGCTATTGTGGCTAATTCCAGCCAAAAACCATCCACTTAGGCAGGAAGTGAGTGTTTGGTTTTCATTCTTGCAATTCAGTTTAAACTATGCATGTTGCACTTCCTAATAGGGTTGCAAAGGGGTGGGAAATTTCCGGTAAATTTCCAGAAACTTTCCAAAAATCCTTGGAATATTCAAAAAAAAAATCCTGGAAAGTTTCCAAAATTTCTGGAATATTTCCAAAATTTACTGGAAATTTTCCACCTTTTTGCAACCCTACTTCCTAATGATGTTACCTAAGCAGTGTTGTCATTGATTAAAACTATGTTACATTTTGCTATGGCAACTAATTTAAATAAGTTTAAGTACTAAAATTACTAAAAGTAAAACTGAAATAAAATAAAATAAAATGCGAAAATTTAAGAAAACTAAAAATAATAAAAATGACAAAAAACTAAAACTATGAAAAAATTGTGTTCATTTAAATCAAGCTGAAATAAAATATACATATTTGATGAATCTTAAAATTTAGAAAATTTAAATAAAAATGTTCAATTTTGCTATGGCCACTAATTTAAATAAGTTTAAGTACTAAAATTACTAAAAGTAAAACTGAAATAAAATACGAAAATTTAAGAAAACTAAAAATAATAAAAATGACAAAAAACTAAAGTTATGAAAACATTTTGTTCATTTAAATCAAGCTGAAATAAAATATACATATTTGATGAATCTTAAAATTTAGAAAATTTAAATAAAAATGTTCAATTTTGCTATGGCAACTAATTTAAATAAGTTTAAGTACTAAAATGACTAAAAGTAAAACTGAAATAAAATAAAATACAAAAATTAAAGAAAACTAAAAATAATAAAAATTACAAAAGTATACAAAAACTTGATCTAAAATTTCAATGAAAACTGACAATATCAAAATTAAAAATCGTCTTCGTTTATTGAAATACAGCTGAAATAAAAAATATATATATAAATATTTGATGAAAGTAAAATTTAAAAACTTTTTTACAATTTTAAAACTCTAATGAAAAATTTTTATTTGCCATGGCAGCTAACTCAAATAAGTTTGAATTGAAGTACTCAAATTAAAATGAAAACTGAAAATATCAGAACAATTACAGATTGATTTCATTCATTGAAATAAAGCTGAAATAAAATAAAATATAAATATTTGATGAAACTTAAAATTTAAAAAACTTAAATGAAAATGATAAATTATGCCATCGAGAGCACTAAAACTGAAATAGAAAAAGAAAACTACTAAAAAAGACAGACAAACTAAAACTTAAACTAAAATGAAAACTGAAAATATCAAAAAGCTAATTCTAAATATTAATAAATAGTATATAAATAATACTAAAATAACACTGTATGTAACGTCCACCATCTTCTAACAGCAGTTAAATGGCGATGAATGGTTTTATTTACTTAGCAAAGCCAGTTTTTCCTGTCATTTGGCACTTAGCGAGTGTTAATGTTGGCCGCCGGTGGCTCGTTCAGATCATCACACAGCACTTTCTGCACAAACAACACTCGAGCAGAATCTGGAGTATGTGTGTGATCTTCAGTCCACAAGTATTAAGAGCTGATTATTTCACAGCTATAAATGAATCAAAACAAGAAATTTAGAGCTCTAGCTCTAGATTTGGAGGAATATCTAGAATATGGTGTGTGTGTCTCGTGTCTCAGGGACCTGACGGCAGAAGATCAGATCGCTCTGCTCAAGTCCAGCGCTATCGAGATCATCATGCTGCGCTCCAATCAGTCGTTCAGTCTGGAGGACATGAGCTGGAGCTGCGGAGGACCGGACTTCAAATACTGCGTCAATGACGTCACTAAAGGTAAGATA